ACCGAACTAGCTTTTCTTTTTCTTCCTAAAAGTGTAAGACACAAGAATCTAGGAAATTGGAAAAGAACGCTTTTTAAAACACGCAAGAGGGGTGCCTGGGTGGCTCAGTTGGTTAAGCATTTGACTTCGGCTCAGGTCATGATCTCACAGATTGTGAGTTCAAGCCCCGCGTCGGGCTCTGTGCTGACAGCTTGGAGCCTGGAGGCTGCTTCGGATTCTGTGTCTCCCTCTTTCTCTGCCCCTCCCCCGCTCGTGCTCTGTCTCTGTCTTTCTCAAAAATAAATCAACGTTAAAACATGCAAGAGATGAGTGTGTAGTCATTCATTGAAAGAGTCATGCTGCTCCAGGCTCAAGGGCTACAGGCTTGGAATGGGATTAATCTGGAATTCCTGGTCTGGTTCACAGTCGACTCCCCTCCTAGTGTGGCCAAGCTTTAGACTCCTTGAAAATCACCAATGGAGCTTAGTAAAGATATGCACGTCCCCAGAGCTTCTGATCACTCAGTTCTAGGAACCTGCAAATCTATCATTCTGAAGATTGATTCCCTGTGTCTATCTGATGGTCGGCCACATTAGGGAAGGGCTGGTCTAGTTCCAGAGGATTTGAGAGACAATAGAGGGGCCTGAAATGGATCAGTCATCCTGTTGTCTTTCAAACTGAGTGAATTCTGAACCATGTTCTGAACCAGGCAAGAACCCTCCAGGCTGATTTGATCCTTACACTGCAATTGTCTCAGATTGAAGTGACTGATCAGAGGTGAATGATGTAGGGGGATTGACAATCAGAGGGCTGGGGTTCTAGTCATCCTTTCGCTCCCAACCAGCTGCGTGAAATTTCTCTCTCTTGTAGCATTACCGTCCGTAAAATGAGGGAGGTGGGCTCGATGGTCTCTAAGACGAGGATTGCCATCCGGGGGCCACAGGCCACATCTAGCCTGCAGACTGATTTTACTCTGACCTACGTGATGTTTGAAAATAAATTTCAGTTAGTTTCCCAATAGGGAGATTTCCCTCTAAATCTAGATTTTCAGCTTCTCTTGGAAAATTGGAAAATCTGGGCATCAAGGGGTCCCTTCATTCTTACCCAGCAGCTGTCACTGGGAAAAGTAGGGTTTGTTCCTTAAAAAAAAATTTTTTTTTTCCATTTATTTTTCAGAGACAGAGAAAGCACAAGTGGGGAGGGGCAGAGAGAAAAGGAGACAGAATCCCAAGCAGGCTCCAGGCTCTGAGCAGTCAGCACAGAGCCCAACGCGGGGCGTGAACTCACAAACTGTGAGATCGTGACCTGAGCCAAAGTCGGACGCTTAAGCTTAACGGACTGAGCCACCCAGACGCCCCACGGTTTGTTCCTTTTAAAAGGGCCACCAGCTCTTGTATTCCTACAGTAGCCATGTTTCCTACTGACCAGGCTGCTCCTAAATCGATGTTTCTGCCTGACACCCAGTGATGGTCTCACAGGTGGCTCTTGCAAAGGTCATTTGCTTTACCTTTCATTACCATCCTTCGATTCTTTGATTCTTTAGGTTACGTCCTAGGGGTGGATCCTTTATCCAGGCCTGTGCCTGCCTGACACCTCAGCAGCCGCTCACTCCCCCCTAATTTTTGAGTCAGGAAAGCAATTTCTGCTATTCCAGTTTTGGGGCACAGGGAGTCTTTAAGGAAGGAGCAAGGGAGTAGGAGCCTTGAAGGAATGTGGTGACTGCTTCTCCAGAAAGGGTCCGAAGAGCTAAAATTTCTGTGTTTACAAATTCCTAAGTACAATATACCCAAGTGGGCCTTAATTTAGGCCAAATGTTTGTATCACTGGTTATGTGCAGTTCCAGCAAGAGTAAAGACATTGCTAAATTGCCAGGTTTTTGCAAATTGTAATGAAAATTGTATGGCACTGAGTCCAAAATCCTTGTATCAATATAATAATTACTGGAAGACTGGAATTACTGAAAGGAAGTGGCTTTTCTGGGAAAACACAAGTGGGAAAAATTCTTTTAGGTTTCACAGAAGCATCTTCAGCCTAAAGGTGGGCAGCTGGGATTGGGGGTCTCAGCAGAGGCCTTTGAACGGAAATAAACGTGATTATGGATTACTCAGATCTCACGGTTATCGGAGGGACTGCCCTATTTGCTATGTGGTTTTCCCACCGCTTCTACCTAAATCCTTTCAAAATACACCAAATGTGAACAATGGCCAGGGTAGGGGCGCCTGGGTGGCTCAGGTAAGCATCTGGCTCTTGATTTCCGTTCAGGTCAACATCTCACGGTTGGTGAGTTCAAGCCCCTGGTGCTGACACAGCCTGCTTGGGATCCTTCCTGTTTCTCCCTCTCTGCCCTTCCCTCACTCGTTTTCTCTCTCTCTCAATAAATAAATACCCTTTTAAGAAAAAAAAAAAAAAAAAAAGAGTGGCCGGTGTAGATCTCATTCTCAGCTTGCCAAGGCAAATTAGTGCCAAAGCACACTGCCTATGGTCACTTGACTCAATTCACATTATGCACATGATTCTAGGTTACAAGGGATGCATCTCACGTAAACCGGGAAGCCGTTGTATGTTACAGGTAGCTGTGCAAGTGAGAAAAATTCCTATTGGCTGTTTTAGAGGACTCTATTGCTGGGAAAAGAGCAACAGGGAGGAGGGCAGCATTTAGGTTCCGCCTCAGAGGATGGGTTGAGTTGGGTGGTGAAGGGACAAGGAGCATTTAGGCAAAGGGCCTGTCAATAGGAACACGTGTCTGGGGAACCCCGGGGGGGGGTCTGCTACGACCAGAGGGGAAACTTCCTGAATGATGAGATAAAAAGACACGAGAACTGGCCAGAAATAAGGCTAGAAAGCTATAAGGCAGTCAGATCGAGAAGGGCATGCCGAAGCCTTGGATCATGATTTTTAGGTAATGGTGAAATGGTGAAAGCTTTCCGAGATGGGCATGGGAGGGATCACATGATCCCTTTTATTTTAGAAAAAAATAACTCTCTCTGCAGTGTGCAGCATGGATTGGAGGGGCTGGGGTCTGGGCCAGGGAGAGTCACAGTTATTTCGAGGGTGCTGAGTTGGGCTTGTTTCTATCTTCTGCCTTCAATCTAAAAGAGAAAACACGTATTAATTTACACTTGTTCAGTGCTGTGGCTTAATGTCAATTGAACGTTGTGTTTGCGTGAAAGCCCTAGTGAACTGAATTATTTTGTTCAAGGATACACGCATTATTTTGTTCCACTACACTCTTTCATGAAAAAGTAGTGTACGTGGAAAACAGAACTACAGTTCAGTTATTGAAAGTTATCCCTTCTTCTTCATGACTTTTCTAGGGTCTTTACTCTTCCTCCTCTTTCCCCCCTCGCTGTGTTCTACTCAGTTTTGTGGTTTCTCCGGGGTAGTACAGCAAAGCCTGGGCACTGAAGCAGGGAGGGTCACATTTCACATACAGTTCGGGTGTCTGAATGGCCCTCAGTGTCCCTGTTCTCGTTCGCTACAGAGAGGGGAGAGCATCCTAAGGTGTATGGGATGGAAACTATCAAATCAAACGAGGTAGTGGGCCAATAAATAAGAAGTCAGATTATGACAAGAAGGAGGAATGAAAAAGCAGCATAGCCTGCTTAGAAGGGGAAAAACGTAACACACATACTAATATTTCTAATACGTTTTATATTGGTCTATTATGTATGGAACCTGTTTCGGCCTCATGGAAAATGGATGATTTTCGGTGGAGTCCACCAAGGACAGGCCTTTGGGGGTTTTGGAGAGAAAAGGGAGCCCTCCCATATAAAATACAATTACAACCGTGTGAAATACCTTATTGCTGGGTCTGGTATTATTACCCTGCACTAGTAGAGACACACTTTAATGTTCAATTCTCGTAAAATATGGAAAATGGCAGCTGATAAGGACTATAAGGCCGTTTCATGAATTTCACGTAACTTGGGACACGTTCTGCCCACTGATATGCATGGCTGACGAAAAATCCCATGGAATGAGGAAAGGCTGAATTTAATATTTCCGGGTTTTTTTTTTTTTAAGTTTATTTATTTATTTTGAGAGAGAGAGAGAGAGCACATGGGAGGGGCAGAGAGAGAGAGAGAGAGAGAGAGAGAGGGAGAGAGAGAGAATCCCAAGCAGGCTCTGCACTGTCAGCACAGAGCCCTACATGGGGGCTCAAACCCACAAACTGTGAGATCACGACCTGAGCTGAAATCAAGCATCAGATGCTCAACCGACTGAGCCCCCCCCCCCGCCCCCCGGCACCCTTGAATTTAATATTTCATTATTTTGCCAGCCCTTCTATTATTTTAGAGAACTGTTCGCTTTCTTAATGTTTTTATTAACTAGCGTTATTACTAACGATAACTCATTATCTTAATAAAAAATAATACAATGTCAGAATGTTTCGGTCGAAAGATGGTAAAGAGGGTTAAGTACACTCACAGAGTTCACATTTTGGGCCAAGAGAAGAGTTGGAGCTTCGGTGTTCCTAAGGAGCGTCAGCGATGGATCTGTTATGCAATCGTAAAATCCACAGCGAATCCGACCTTTTCTGCTTCTTTCCCACCAATATACAGTGCCAAGGTGAGGTCCTCCAGAGTCGGACAGGCTTGGGCTGAACAGTCGCCCTGCTGCTTACAGAGCTGCGTGGCTAGAAAGAGCTACCTAACCTGTCCGTGCCTCAGTTTCCCCATCTGTAAAATGTCCTAGGGCCGTTTTTGAATGTTACATGAGATAACTCATCTAAAGCAGTTTATGAACAGTTTATTAACCTTAGCCCTGTTGATATTTTGAGCTGGATGACTCTTTGTCATGGGAAGGTAGTCCTGTGCAGCGCGAGATGTTTAGCAGCATTCCTGACCTCCATCCACCAACTGCCGATATCACTTCTCTTGCCCCGCCCCCCCCCTCGGTTGTGACCGTGAATATCTCCAGGCATTGCCAAATGTTCCCTGTTGGGCAGAACCACCCTCACCCCTCAACCAGTGATCTTGGTAAAGTACTTGACGCATAGCAAGGGCTCAAAAGACATTCTCTATTATTATTATTATCATTTTGTATTGGTTTTAAGGAGCAGCAACTTCGGCTTACAACATCTCTTTGTTTGTTTCTTTGGGCTCCGTGACAATGTGCAGAAAAACGGTCAAATGCAAGGAGTCGGAAAGGATGGGCTACAAACTATATAATCAGCTCCTGACAGTTTTGTTAAATGCAGTGATTTTCTTTTTTTTCTTTTTCTTTTTTTTTTCTGCCACTAAGGAGAAGAAGGTGATGGAACCCTCGGATCCTCCCTGATATTTTCCAGATTTTATCAGATGCTTGAGTAAAGAGAACGCTGTCACTTTACTAAGGCCTGCCGTATGAGAAAAGGGAAAAAGATAATATGGTTAAGTCACTAGCATGCTATTATATGAGTTGAGCTCTGGTGCTGTCCCCGAAAGTAATTTCCATATATTTCTTCACCTCTCGCCTTCCAGCGTCGCTATTACTTAACCCACTGACCCAGATAGCTGCTTATTAACATTTAATACATGTTGAAGTGTTAGTGGGCTTTGAACAAAACATGAAGAAGTTTCTGACTTGCTTTTAGCTCTTTGCCCTTGAACCGTTACATGAGTAATTCTTTAAAGCTCTGCTCTGCCATTGCTATAACGGTGGCATGGATTTTCTTTGAGATACAAATGAACAATTTATGAAAGTTTATCCCCCCCGGATGCATGTAAGCTTTCATCCATTCAACGAATGTTGATGAGCCCCCCGTGTGCCGACCACTGTGCGCGAGGGAGGGAGGGCTCACGAACAGATGTGGTGGTTGTGTTCTTGTTCTTTATGGTGGTGAAGGCAGGGAGCGGAATGCTGGGAGACACAGGCAGGTATTCACAGAGAGTGAGAAGTGTGGGGACACAGACGTGTCACCGATGAAAGCACGTGGTGGGGCCCCGAACTTAGTCTTCAGGGGTTAGAAATGTGGCCTCCATTTAAAAACATATGAAAAGGGGTGCCTGGGTGGCTCCGTCGGTTAAGTGTCCGACTTTGGCTCGGGTCATGATCTCGTGGTTCACGGGTTCGAGCCCCGCATCGGGCTCTGTGCTGACAGCTCAGAGCCTGGAGCCTGCTTCCGATTCTGTCTCTCCCTCTCTCTCTGACCCTCCCCCCATTCATGCGCTGTCTCTCTCTGTCTCAAAAATAAAATAAACGTTAAAAACATGAAAAGAAAATTATCCCCACTATCCTTTCCTCCTAAATGAAGTCACACCAGTGAGAAAAAGACAAAATTCAGTCAAGGCGGGAGAACTGGAAGTCTGTGACATCTGAAGGGTGCAGCCCTGATCTATGCAAAATGCAAAAATGTTTGAGAATAGGAATGTTTACCCTGACATAATAAATATTTATTAATTCGTAAATTCATTCCAGAAGTTACTTGACGTAGCTAAATGTGGCCAAAAAAACCCCACCTTCTTTCATTTTTATTTTTTTTTAATTTCATTTAATTTTTTTATGTTTATTTTTGAGAGAGAGAGAGAGAGAGAGAGCATGGGAAGGGGCAGAACAAGAGGGGGACAGAGGATCTGAAGCGGGCTCTGTGCGAACAGCCGCAAGCCCGTGGTGGGTCTGGAACTCACCAACCGTGAGCTCATGACCTGAGCCAAAGTCACATGCTTAACGGACTGAGCAACGCAGGTGCCCCTTGTTTCATGTTTAATTTATAAAAGTAATACATGAGCATACTTGGAGAAAAGTCCCAGCGGCACGGAAAGTAAAAGGGAGGAGGGAGTGAACTCGCCCACTTACTCTCTCTCTTTCCCAAATCCACGCCCCTTGCCAAAGACACTTGATGGTTTGGTGTGCATCCTTAAAGAGATAACAGTTATACGTATTATAAACCACGTGAAACCGCTGGTTTTACAGGTCACAATGGTCAAATGTGCACCACCTTTGTATGTTTCCACCTAATATTTGATGTGCTTTGCGGATCCCACACACATCATTCCGCCACTCCCTCTTTAACCCCAGATCTTTCCTCTCCACGTGCGCACATGGAGATCGCTTTTCCTTTTTTTGGCACGTAACCTTTCTAAAAGCGTTAAGAAAATAATCTCGAGAAGATAAATTAAAGCCCCAGAGAAGTGGAGAGGCTGACGATGGGAGAGCTGCTGGAAAAATTACTCATCCTATGCTGTCGTTTGGAAAAGAAACTGGTCACCTCAGGTCAGCCTGCCCAGAAGGCTCGATTCTTTCCAAGGGGGGCTGTGTACATGGTGGCAAACAGAAGCTCCCTCGAGACCCCCCCACCCCCACCCCCCGGGGTCCATTCACTGTGCTGCCTGACTCCTGCTGCTTCAATTTACCTCTCAGCCACCCAGCCTCTCCGACGGCCTTGTGCCGGGCTCCAGGCTGTCTGGGAGAAGCCGCTGGCTGGCTCCAAGACCCAGAGGCCGCGGGCTGCAACTCACACTAAGTTTCTGTGTTAACAATAAATGTTAACTTAGTTTCTGATGACTGCTGGAGTCTTCGGGTAGTACCTGATCCGCCCAGATTGTTGTTTAGTATAATTTTTCATAATTGCTATTTTTCATAATAATGGCCTCGGAGGGCAATTTGAAAAGCGGGGGAGCGGCGTTGGATTTACGGTCAGAAAACTTGCCTTTGTAAATGTCTGCTCCGTTGTTTATGAAAACCGAGGTGCTGACTAAATCACTTCTCCTCACTGGACCACAATTCGTTTTAATAGCTATAAAATTAAAATAATAAAGAATATCTTACCGTTTGTTGGGTGCTTACTATGTCCTGGGCACTGCTTCTAGCATTTTCCGTATATTAACTCATGCAATTGTCATCGCAGCCCTAGGGGGTGACCCCATTCTTACCCCATTTTATAGGCGAGGAAACTGAGACGTTAAATGACTTCCCCAAAGTCACCCAGCTAGGGAGGAAGATGAATGGAAGCAAGAGGCACCGTGCTTGAAGGTTAAAGAGGAATGAATGGTTTGGGCATCTCTGTGTGGCCACCAGGGCAAGAAGTTGGTGACTTTTTTTCCTTCCACTATTGCCTCCGAATCAGAGAATCTGTAAACATTTTGGAGCTGGAGCGGGACCTCAGAAATTGTCGAGGGCATGGGGCGCCTGGGTGGCTCAGTCAGTTAAGCGTCCGACTCTTGATTTTGGCTCAGGTCATGATCTCACAGTTCATGAGTTCGAGCCCCCGCGTCAGGCTCTGCATTGACAGCATGGAGCCTGCTTGGGATTCTCTCTCCCTCTCTCTCTGTCCCTACCCTGCTCACGCTTTCTCTCTCTCTCTCTCTCTCTCAAAATAAAGAAATAAAAACTTAAAAAAAAATTTTTTTTAAATTGTCAAGGGCAAACTTTTCCTTTCAAGAGGGGAAGACATAGGCCCAGAGCATTTAAGGGAGTTGGGCAAAGTTTGAGCTAATGAGCATGAGGGGGCATAGATTTTGCCTACTGCCCTCAGTCATTCCCATGGTTTTCCCATTGGGTTAAATATTGCAAGCAAGTTTTAAAAACCATTTGCTGTGGATAAGGTTATACGTCAACAATAATGGAGGGGAACTCCTTGTCCCACATTCCAGCTTCAACAACAATCAACCACTCGGCCGATCTAGCTTTTTCTATATTCCTGCCCATTCCTTGCTTTCCAACCCGCTCTGGATAATTTTGAAGGGACTTAGAGGTATCATACTCAGTATAAATCTAAACTGTAAGGGCTCTCTTTTTAATATCAGCACGATACTATCGTCACATCTCAAAAATAACAATATTGCTTAATATCATCAAATAGCTTGGCAGTGTTTAAATTGCTCCCTTTACCACACACTTTGTTTTTATAGTTGGTCTGCAGCAAGCAAGCTTTGAACTTTTTTTCTTTTAAAGTTTATTTATTTTGAGAGTGAGAGAGCAGGGTAGGGGCAGAGAGAGAGGGAGAGAGAGGAATCCCAGGCAGGCTCTGTGCTGTCCAAGTAGGGCTCGAACTCACGAACCAGGAGACCATGACCTGAGCCAAAATGAAGAGGCAGATGCTCAACCTGACTGAGCCACCCAGGCACCCCAAGCTTTGAACTTGTTAGCAAGTGCGAGACACTGTAGGGGACACAGGGATGGTTTCAAAAATGCCCACCCTTGGGGTCTGAATAGTCAGGAATGAATCTGAAAACCTACTAAGGGGGAACCAATGTGCACTGGGGTGTCAGAGAAAGTAGTACAGGATCGGCTGCCTGGGCCTAAGCCCACCTTTACCACCTCTTCACCAGGTAAGGCACATGGCCTATCGATGCCCACCTCTCCTTACCTGTTAGATGGGGCTGATAATAGACCGACCTCAAAGCTCTGTTTGGAGAAGAAACGCAACTGTACAGGCAAATACTTACGTCAGCACATGAGACATCATAGTTATGCACTAAACACTAGATATTATTATGGTATCCCACCATGGTTACGATGCACTAGATCTTAAAGGCACTTTGTAGTAGCAGGGTGGATAGTTTGGCAATCATGCCATGAATAATAATACATAATAATAATTATTGTGGATGATGATGATGATGGTGATGATGATGATTTTGGCCAGGATTTATTTTTTTAATGTGCAAGTCAATTAAAATTAATTGACTTTAACTGTCAATTACAAGTAATGTTCGAGTGTTTTTGCACTCATACTCCCTCTCTCTTTCTCTCTCTCTCTCTCGATCTCTCTCTGTTCACACCTTCCTCCAAGTTGAGGTCATAAGGTCTATCCCCGAAGCCACATCTCCAAGGCTTTTCTTCCCTACGGGGCCTAAGGTATACAAAAGATCTGATTCCTAACTGGGATGGGGTAGTAGCAAAGAGGTTGCCATAATCCCTGTGGTCAGGATAACCATTCATCCTGGATTGCTTGGTTTGTGCCTGTTGTCCCCTTGCAGTCCCCAAACCGGCTCAGTTCAGATGATAAATTATACGATCGCCCCACCTATACCTAAAGCAGCACATCAGGCGTGTTTTACAGAACATATGGTTTGAAGTCAACCTTCTCCTATTCACCTCCTTGCTCTCCCCCCCCCCCCCCTGCCCAGTGCACCTGCCATCCCCACCCTGCCCTGCGTGTGTGCCCTGGTCTCCGCCGTCACCTTAACCCCCGGAGGCCTGTGGACAAGCTATGACCAGAGCAACTTTGTCCTATCACTGGGAATGGTTTGTGCTACAGTTTGGGGACATGCTTCTGTTGCTATCCTTTCAATTATGGAAATAGTTTTTTTTTTTTTTTTAATTTTTTTTTTTCAACGTTTATTTATTTTTGGGACAGAGAGAGACAGAGCATGAACGGGGGAGGGGCAGAGAGAGAGGGAGACACAGAATCGGAAACAGGCTCCAGGCTCTGAGCCATCAGCCCAGAGCCCGATGCGGGGCTCGAACTCCCGGACCGCGAGATCGTGACCTGGCTGAAGTCGGACGCTTAACCGACTGCGCCACCCAGGCGCCCCTGGAAATAGTTTCTATCAACCAAGAACGAGGGGTGGGTCCCTATGAGGTCATTTAGTTGCCAATTTTAGGAGTCGCAAGCAGATTGAGAAACCTGTTTCCCCCCTTCCTTACCAATCAAGAGAATTGATTCATACGTACTGTGTGTCAAGCACTTTTTTTACTCCTTGTATTTACTCAACCATTTAATGCTTTTGATCTTCATTTACTTTTATTTTTTATTTTCTTATTTATTTATTTATTTATTTGAGAAAGGGAGAGAGAGCGCAAGCACCGGAGGGGCAGAGAGGGAGGGAGAGAAAGAATCCCAAGCAGGTGCTGTCAGCACAGAGCCCAAGCCGGGGCTCAAATTCAGAAACGCGTGAGATCATGACCTGAGCTGAAATCAAGAGTCTGATGCTTAACTGACTGAGCAATGCAGGCGCCCCTAATACTTTTAATCTTTCTCTTTAAAACACATTTTTTTAAATGTTTATTTATCCTAATACTTTTAATCTTAAAGCAAGTCTTTCTTACTCTGCAACTGGACTTCTTTATCAGATCCTTTGGAAAATGTAGAAAAGGTGAAAAGGTCATGGTACTCATTATGAGGGTAAGGCAGATTTGGATTTCCACATTTATGACAACCATAATAAGGTGTTTTTTAAAGTTGAATTTCTTGGAACCAGAACAAATCCCGATAAAATAAAAATCATAGGAAAAAGCACCCAGGTGCATAATTTGTCAGTAATTCCATTTTGTAGACATGCAGTGTCTACTGTGTGCACCGTGGCTTTGCGTGGGGCAAGCCCTTCGGCGAGCTCCACAGTGGAATTGTCGCACGGTTCCTTAAAGAATGTGTTATCGAGGCGCCTGGGTGGCGCAGTCGGTTAAGCGTCCGACTTCAGCCAGGTCACGATCTCGCGGTCCGTGAGTTCGAGCCCCGCGTCGGGCTCTGGGCTGATGGCTCAGAGCCTGGAGCCTGTTTCTGATTCTGTGTCTCCCTCTCTCTCTGCCCCTCCCCCGTTCATGCTCTGTCTCTCTCTGTCCCAAAAAAAAAAAAAAAAAAAAAAAAAAAAAAAAAAAAAAAAAAAAGAATGTGTTATCGAGTGGAGAGGCTGTGGCAGGGTTACAAATGATCCTGTTACAAAGCAATGAAAGATATATGACTTAAGAGTTGTCTGAACCGTGGGCTGGGGGGATTTATGGAATACAGACAGGACTCTGAAGTTTAGAAATACTCCTAATTCTGGGAAGTAGCATGGATTTAGATAAGAGGTCCTACCGTGTTGTTTTTCTGTTTCTTTATTTTTGTACAGTGGCCCAGGCCTAGGAAGTTCTCAGCAGTGGTTGTTGATAATTACAGTAAAGTAATCTTGTGGTGTCGTATTTTAAGTACTATA